CTTGCCCTCATACACCTCAGCAGAATGGGGTTGCCGAAAGGAAGAATAGGCACATCTTGGAGGTGGCTAGAAGTCTTATGTTTACCTCCAATGTCCCTATTCGCTTCTGAGGTGATGCTATCCTCACGGCGGTATATCTTATTAATCGGATTCCGTCCTGGGTTCTTGATTTGAGATCTCATTTTTCCCTTCTATACCCACATGAGGAGTTGTTTTCTATTCCCCTTAAAACATTCGGTTGTACCTGCTTTGTTCAGCTTCTYRGACCCCATCACTCCAAGTTTGAACCCAAGGCCTCCAAATGCATTTTCCTTGGTTATGCACAAACTCAAAAGGGGTATTGCTGCTATGATYCTGTCTCAGGGAGGAAGTTCGTCTCCATGGATGTCACTTTCTTTGAGGAGACACCCTATTATCCTTGGGTTTCTCCTCAGGGGGAGAGTAGTGAGAGTAGGGGTTTAAGTCCTTGTCCTCAGGGGGAGAGCAGTGAGAGCGGGGCAGTTCCTTTACCTATTCCATTGGGTGATGGGAGCTGCAATGGTGAGGGCGGCCAGAGGGAACAGAAGTTGAGGGGGAGCTGCAATGGTGAGGGTGGTCAGAGGGGTCAGGAGTTGAGGGTCTATCACAGGCGGTACAGGTAGGTTGATCCCGATCATCAGCAGTCCAGGCCAGCTCCAATCTCATCTACGGCTCCAGGTCCAGGCATTACAGTCCCAGGACCCACAGAGACTTCCTCTATTGTTGCCATTTCACCTCCTACAGATGACCTTGATCTTCCGATTGTAGTCCGTAAAGGGAAACGACACTGTACCACATCTACAGCCCACTGTATTTCCCATTTTTTATCCTATGATCGCCTATCTCCTACCTACAGGTCTTACCTTAGTTCCATTTCCAATGTCCCTATTCCAAGAACAGTGCAAGAGGCCCTATCCGTCCCGGAATGGAAAGATGCAATGCAGGTTGAGATGGATGCTCTGTTGAAAAATAACACYTGGGAGGTAGTTGATCTGCCCAAAGGAAAGAAACCAGTTGGATGCAGATGGGTATTTATTGTGAAGCATAATGCAGATGGATCCATTGAGAGGTATAAAGCTCGATTAGTTGCAAGAGGGTTTACACGGACTTGTGGCATAGATTATTTGGAGACCTTTGCCCCAGTAGCCAAGATGACCACCATTCGAGTCCTATTATCCCTTGCAGCAAGTCACACTTGGCCTTTATACCAAATGGATGTGAAAAATGCTTTTTTGAATGGAGATCTG